TAGTGTCAAGAACAATTATAATACTAACCTGCAAGTGCATAGATACCTTTAGTACAGTCTTGTGATTTACCAAGAAAGTCTCCTCCCATTGTCTAAAGGAATAAAAATCAATACAAAAAAATGTCTTGCATAAAAAAAACCACACAAATGTATCAAAGATCTGTATAATCTGTCATTGACAAGAACACAATGCACATCAAAGTACCAAAAACCAATTCAACACAGAAAACAATTTGTGCAACAATAAACAAATACATGAAAAAAAAATTCCATTTGATTTGCTGAGATAAATGAAAAATAAAATTGTGTTTAATATCATTAACTTTTAAATCCAAGTTCTGTTATAAAAAGTTATGCTCTTTAATATAAAATTTTGAGAATATTTTTTTTAGATGAATTGAAATCCCTAACCCTCATATATATCTAGCTAGCTATCAACTTAACTTTCTTTCCACACAGTTGCCTAGAGTAAAAACATCCTCAGTGTTAATAAAAAATACAAAAATGAAAAAAAAAAAAAGAGATAATTTCAAGCAAACCATACATGTGTTTTCCCACTTCCAGTTTGTCCATATGCAAAACAGGTTGCCATTCCACCTTCAAATATAGTTTGAACTAATGGCTTAGCTGTAAATCTAAAAATATTAAAATATTTTTTTGACTTTTCAGCTTTGATGTGAAAAACAAAACAAAAAAAAAGAACAAAATGCTATAAAAGTCTACTTTAAAAAAGTATCTCAGCTGTAAAAGCATTATGAACACAATTCCAATCTTTTAAGTAATAAAAAAGTTGTAAACAGCTAGTATTGTTGTGACAAAACATATTCCTTTATGATTAATGTTTTTCATCTTAAAGGTATTGTTTCAGTTTGGACATTCCAGATAATGTTTATAAAAAATCCATCAGAAAGACAACCAAATGCAAAAATTCCTACCTCGTTAGCTGTCAAAAGAAATTTATAAACAATAACATAGACAGTTAAGCATATGCATTTAATTATAATTATCTCACTTACTTATACACTAGATCATTATCAGATGACTCATCAAAGGCATAGTCATATCTAAAGACTTGGTTTTCTAGGTACTTGGTCAGATCAACCTTAAGCTTGGGCTCATGGACTACAATGTGTTCTTTATTTGGTACAGTAACTACATCCACTTCTTTTCTTGTATTTTCTGTTTAAAATCATGAGAAAAAAATAATGCTATAAAATTTAGCCTCAGTTGTTTGTTTGTATTTGTTTTTTTCGAAAAAAATTTAAGTATGTCTAATCAGGCAGCAGCTATTGCTTCTGCTCAAGCAGTTAGCAGTGAATTAAAATAATTTTAGTATGGTAAGTAAATATTAATTTTCTAAGCAATCATCTTAATTCTTATCAGTAAGTGTCTAATTTAATCAATCTTTTACATAATAAGTCAACAGTAAGTTTTTAACAAAGAACACTGTTTTCTCACTAATACACATTTATCTATCAGCTATCATAAAAAAACTATTTGTAAGGCTAGGTTTTTTGTTTTGCATTCTTGTAAACTGCACTCATATCAGCGTATTACATTACATTTATAATTTAGTACCCCTACAATCCCAGCATGGTTAGTTTAGTTATACAGGTGTAAGTTGTATGGGGTCATAGTGATCCCATGCTGGTGTTCTGCTGTTAAAGGTACACGGTAATGTTCACTTTCCTATTAGGATTTCTCACTCAGATATCTTTGTTCAGTACTTAAAGTTAAGGACTTTGATGCTTAAAGAAATAATGGACATCCTCATAAAACTAACCATTTATTTATTTATTTTTGCCTGTATAGAAAAATGTTGTGGTAGTTGCAGACACTAGATAGAGCCAACCACAAAATAAGTATTTGGCCATAATTATTACATGATCCTTTGTTAAGTGTTATTATTGCATCCTACTCAGTCTGTACTTTGTTTACCTTGTTGAAGATGTTATGTTAATTTTTATATTTACTTATACATCTCGTAGATTCCAATCAAATATTTGGTTATTTGGTCAAAGGACTTAGTTGAATAATAGGTATTTAGCCAAAAAACAACCCTTTACACTTCTGGATAAGAGTCAATGCATGATACAGAAATTTTAGCATTTATGAAATTTTAAATTTGTAAGTGTTTCAGGATTGAAAGATGATCATTTTTGATTAAAAAAAATGAAAAAGTTGGAAAAAAATCTTCCACAAACTTCAAACATAAAATTAATAATAAAAAGTTCAACAAGTTTTTTTTAGTGATAAATAACTTTTAAAACCAAACAGCTGAACAAACACTGTTATCATGGACAAATATGTTTAAACAAATAAAAATGTCTTATTTCCAGATGTATTTAAACTACCAAAAAGTTACTATATATGTTGCTTTTCACTTGTGCTTAGTTTATACATAGAGAACCTATCTATATTTATCCATACTGATATTTTTAATTTTCTTTACTTCTTTTAGATACTCAACATACAAAGTAGTTATTCATACATTAGTGTAAATTTACAGAAATTGTAGTTTAAAAAAATTCACTTTTTCTGTTCTATTTTATAATTTAAATGGAACACTTACAGAAAATGTTCTCTTTCTAATGCTTGTACCATAAAAGGTAAACTAATTTTATATTTTATTAATTACCCTTAAAATATTCATCAACTTATTTGAAATTCTCAATTTTATTTTGTATCTAGATATTCACTTGTTTATTAATAAGCTTTTTTTATTATTGTAGTGAAAAACTTCATCATAACAAGTAATCTGAATTAAAACTAAAATCATTTACGTACCTTTCTTATTTAAAGGCCTTTTCCTGACTGCAACACAAATCTGTTGGACTTGAACAGGATCATTCATTGTGATAGGCCTGAATTCTAACTGAGCCCTGTATTCTCTGTTGAATATTATGTTAAAAAGTTTATGATCACCAAAATATCTATGGAGGTTTTAAATACTACTGTTGTGTCATACCTTGTAAAATATTTTAACCATGAACAAGTAATATTCATATTTTTTAAGCATTGATCATTAATCTGAGCTTCTTGTAAGTGATTGAAAAAAGCTATTCTAAACACCAAAGTGATCTCTGGAAAACAAACATCTTTTCTTTCATCATACCAAAGTTCAAAAGGGCATTTCTACCATAAACATTTTCAGCACTGTAAAAATAAAACAAATTATCATACTTTTAAACCATAAAGACCTATTAAGCTAACAGTTCTATTATCTTGCAAAGTCCACTGAAGTGTAAAATTCATTATCTGATTGGTTGATACAAATTCATTGAATGATGACACAGGGTTATCTAACATATTTCTGTGTTTTATGTAAAATTGAAGAATACCAAAAAGATTACATTTAACATAGATGGTAAAATTAAATAAAAATGTACTAGAACCCTTCATTTATATTGTCATTCTCAATCAGATACATGTTGTGGGGGTTTGTACAGGGTTAGATTTGATTTATATGTTCTGAAGCTTATCCTTTCCTTTTATCAACAAAATGTGTATGAAAGGTTGAATTGACCAAAGCAAATGTTTAATCTTTTACCTTGCACAGACTGTGTCAGTTGAAAACTAATTATCTTTTACTATTTGTTTCGTAACCCATATGATGTCTAAATTGTGGTTCACTAACATTTAATACATCTTTTAATATATTGTGTGCACAGACCATTTCAAAGTTGTTGTTTTTTAATTCAGAAACTAATCAATATTTGGTTGAAATAGATAAAAATTCATTTTATTTCTTGACCATATCTGAGAAGCTATTTAGGAAACAGCAACTGTAAGAAGAAATTTCAATCTTCTAAATGAAGCAATATCTCTAATTTGTATAAAGAAGATGAGCCAATGGCTGAAGGCATCCAACAATTCATTATAAAAAATATCACTTAACCAAAATACAAATTCTGTACTTTGACTGTAAATAATTCATGCCTAATAAACATGAGTTTAACTGTGGTGATGTTTGAATGTGAGACTGAATGAGTAATCCCACAAGAAATGACATTAGTCTTTCATAGCAAATTTGTCATGGTAAGTATCTGTGAAGCCACTTTTATACTTAGAGGTTAATATAGTATATAATTATCAAATTATATACTGCTTCTACAACATCTGAAAACAACCCATTCCAAGGGTCAACTACCCTGTTAGAAAAATGAAACTGCCTTAGCTGAAGATGACTCCTACCTTCCCAAAATTTATATTTGTGTCCCCTAGTCCTACTATTCTCACTGTTAAATATGAAAAAAGATGATGCATCGGCACTATCAGTTCACTTTACAATCTTAAACACCTCAATCAGATCCTCCCCTAACTTTTCTTTTTTCAAGAGAAAACAATTTGAGAGATTTCAGCCTCTCCTCATATGACAACCCCTCCATTACAGGCACCATTCTAGTAACCCTTCTCTGAACCATTTCTAACAATTCAATGTCTTTCCTAAGGTAAGGATCCCAAGACAACACAATATTCCAAATGTGGCCTAACCCATGACCTGTACAATGAAATTACAACCTATTTAGACTTGTATTCAATATTTCTGTAGATACAACCTAACATGATAAAGTTAAGAAAAAACAATAATAGCACTATCACAATTGTATTTAGTGTCACAGCAAAATATCAAGGAAGTACTATAACTTTGTATATTCATGCAAAAGCAACCATCAATTTCTGATTTAAAAAAAAAGTGTGGCTAAAAAAAAAAGAGTCCATTAGACTAGGTGATGTTCCCTTCACATGCCACTGATGTCTTGTGGGAAAACTATGATCCAGATAATGGAGGATGTAGGTATAGTGATAAAGAATAAAGGAGACATTGATAGCAAAGACATCAGTCCTATAAATTCCACACGTGAAGAGAAGTAAGAAATATGTCTTGAAGTAGAGGTGATACAAAGAGCTAGAGGCCAAAGATTCAAAGGGTAAGGGCATGAAGGACAACACTGAGATTCTAATCTGGTAGGGGATCTGGGTGGGGCAGATGAATTAGGTGAAAAAGAGGAAAACAAGAGAGAAAGGACAGGAGAAGAAAAATAAGATGCTAGCAGGAAAAATGAAAGGTATTTGAAAAGGACACACTATAGCCCACAATGGTAGAAACAGATAAACCACTGTTGAAAAGCCAAGTAAATAAAATGGAGAGGTGGGGAACACTTGGTTGGGAAGGTGAAAGGCTGTGGTGCAAAGATCAATGCCATTGATGGTTTAACAGAAGAAGAGAAGACCAAGTGAAAATGAAGGACGGCTACCCATGTAGAAAGTCCGGATTGTCTCGCAAGGGACCGGACAAAATCCACACATGAAGGCAGAGTGTAGCTACGATGGGAGGATGAAAGACATAAGACTGAGGTTGCTGGAGAAGGGATCAGGAAAGTGGACAAAGTATGGGAGGAGATGATCGAAAGAGGTTCAACAGTGGAAACCACAGTAGTGCAGAACAGAAGGGGGCAATGAGAAGGACTCGATACAGAGTGGTTTGTATATGAAAGATCACACATGGAAGAAATGGATGGGAAGATAAGCATACACGTAAAGATTAGTCCAATCCAGACTGAAGGCATCCACTACTAAAGCCGAAGGATGCAGAACTGGAGACCAGAAGAGGGGGAGTTTTGTATTGCTCTGGGTGGCAAATGCATCCAGAAGGGGAGTAACCAGCTGGGAGCATATCTACCGGAACAGTTAAGGAACAAGATACCAATTCATTAGCAGAATTTCATTGGGATGAGATAGCCGATCTGCCACAAGATTCTGAGGACCCAAAATATGGCAGGCAAGAAGATGGACTTGCTGAGACTGAGCCTAGAAAAGGAGATTTAGCATTTCAAAGAAATGCGAATGGAACTGGGTACACCCCTTGAAAATTACTGTAAAATACAATAGTCAAATCAATGAAATGGGTCATGAACAGGTGACCCTGTACCACTGGAAAGAAATAATTCAAAGATCAACAAACAGCTAAGGATTTCAAAAGGTTGATGTGTAGAGAAGATTTAACTGACTATTTCTGAGAATCCAAGTATGCTTCCCCATCCAGTAAAACAAGTATCTGTAAGAGATATGCCAATCAGAATGGGGAAGAAGCAGAGGAATGCCCATCGAGGTGTTGTCCCTGTCTAGCCACCACACAAAGTCAACGTGTAGGGAAAGGAGGAAGATGGAGTCCAAGGGATGAGGGATTCCATGTAAGCCCAGGTCCCCAAAAGAGAGATAACCTTGCATGGAAACCAAGAGCTCCATCGCCCTTAAACAAAGAGGAGAAGGCTGGGCCCTGCTGAGGTAGGTGTTGAAAAACATTCCAAGATTAATAAGATACTGTGTGGAAGTGAAATAGGGTTTCTCTAATTTGACAAGCCATCCCACACGAGTCACCTGCTGTAGGAAGAAATGGGTATGGCTGTGAGAGGCTAGTTGGGAAGGAGATAGTCATCCATATAATGGTGAAACCAAATATCTTGATTGTGAATAAGCCAAGCAAAGGCTTTGACCATGTGACAGAAGATGTATGGTGTCAAAACCAGATTGAATGGTAGAGCATAGAATTGGAACAACCAACCCTTGTGAACAAACCAAAGGTAAAGTCTGGATACTGGAGAAATCAGGATATAAAGGTATGCATCCAAAACATCAACCACCATGGTCATCCACAGACCTGGAATGAATGACCATCACAGGGCAAGGAAAAACTCCATGATGAACTGTGGGACGTCAATGAAGCATTTGAGGTTGGAGAGATCAATAACAGGACATCAATTCCCTGTCTTCTTGAGTACAACAAACAGCTGGGAATAAAAACCCAGGAAAGGGTGAAACACTTGTTCTATAGGGTCTTTGTTCAAGAGATCTCAAACCACCCTGGCAAAAAATTGGTTCTTGAGAAAGGTGAAAAGAAATAGGGCATGGGGATAAAGATGGGAGGAATGGAAAAGCAAAGAGAAAGTCCTTCTGTTAGAACCTGAAGAACTCAAGTGTCCTTGCTGAAAGGGCCCCACCGATGAGCAGACCTAGCCAACTGCACCTCCCACAGTGCCAGAACCCATGGGATAGTCAATGACATTGGAAAATACAATGATGAATGATTTGACAACTTGCTGCAGAAATTTGGGAAGGTGGTACTGGTAGAGGGGATGATGCAGAGGGCAAGACATAGAAACAGGAGAATGAGATGATTGAGAAAGATGAGAAAATATGGAGTAGAGGGAGGAATGTTGATGTACAGCATCCACCTGAGACTCTAAAGTATTAAGGAGATCCCTAAAAAAAAGACTGGCACAAGAAAGGAGCCAGATATAGATCATGAAAACAGGAAGCAGGCAGATGCACGTGTGATAAGAAGGCATACATGCCAAGAAGTTCCCAACAACAAAAATGCCATGTATGAAGGGACAAGGCTAAGGAAGATAATAGCACCAATGTAGAAAAAAGCAGGGTGCATGTATCTGCTGAAAACTCCTCAGGGAACAGTGGATAGCCTTGCAAAGGAGGTGAATGGATGAGAAATATAAAGGATGGTAGTGAGTGTGAGATGTAGATAAAAGAACTGGGGAAAATTGTAGTGTAGTAGCATGATCAGAGACCAATGCCTGAATCAGATATTCTAAGGTCTGAGAATCCAAAAACAGAAATTCTGACCTATGATATGCCAAAGCTTAGGAGTCAGCCAAACACAGGATCCAAGGCATACTGGTACCCGAACATATAATTGGGCAAGAAACTGTCCAACATGGACTAAAATATGAGGTGAGGGGGAAAAACTGAACTTCGCATTGGGGCATGATGATGAAGGGAGGGGAAGGAATCATAAGACATGGGAAAGAGACAAGAGGTAACATATCTGTGAAATCATGCTAAAAAATGCAATGAAAGATGAGGTAGATTGAGA